GGGAGGAACAGGTAGGGATGCTGTGTTCTGCTTTGCTAAAAACCACCAGTCTTATCATGGGCTTTTGCCACCAAGTACCAGAGCTTCCGGTGTAACTCATCCTCACTAATTTGTGGACTTTTCTGTTTTCATCTTCACTCGCTGGTGAGTGTGTACTGGTGCCTTCTTATGATACTGATTTGCTTCTCTGGAAGACTAATGAGGTTGAGCATCCTTTCATGTGTTATTGGCCATTTGGGATCTTCTTTTATGAGATGTCTATTTAAGATTTTTTGTGCTTTTTTTTTTTTCCCTATTAGATAACCCACCTTGTCCTCACTGATCTAAAGCAGGGGCGGGGAACATGCAGCCCACAGGCCATACAAGGCCCATGAAATCATTGGGTCTGACCCTGCCAAGGCAACCGCAGGCAGGACTTGAAATCCAATAAATCTATAGCAGGCTAATTTTTAAGTTGATGATTGTGTATGGACTGTGAGTGATGTTATAAATATCCAAATGGCCCTTGGCAGAAAAAAGGCTCCCCGCCCATGAACTACAACATAGATTTTCTTTATATAAGCTGCCATATTTATCTCTCTATAAACACGCTAGCTTTTCAGGTTGTTGTTGAACCAATGCAAATGAGCGGAGAAAAATACCCTTGTTGGGTAAGTAGGTCTTCATTTATATATATATATGACATATATACATAACATATATACAACATTATATAGTATATATAATTACTTTAATTAAAATATGTTATTGACAATTATCCACATTTATGGGGTACTGCGTGACATTTCCTTTTCTCTTTGTGCTCCTAGCTTACATATTTGTATGTTAACAGCTTCACTGAGATGTAATTTCCATACTAAAAAGTTGAGTTTTAAGTGAACAATTCAGTTATTTACTGAATTGCACAATCATCACCACAGTCTAATTTTAGAACATTTTCATCATCCCCAAAAGAAACCTGATGCTCCCAGCCCAAGCCCCAGGCAATCTCTAATGCATTCACTGTGTCTGTGCATCTGCCTTTTCTGGACATTTGCTATAGATGGACTCACACAACACCCGGATGTGTGCTTCTGAGTCTGGCTTCTTTCACTCACATAATGTCTTTGAGGTTCATCCATGCTGTAGCACGTGTCAGTGCGTCCTTCCTTTTCATGGCCGAGTGATATTCCATTGTATGGACAGACCACATCCTGTTGGTGTGTTCAGCAACCCAACGGGCATTTCAGATGTTCTCACTGTTTGGCTATTATGAATAATGTGGCTGTGAATATTCACTACAAGTTTTTATGTAGACTTGAATGTACTTCAAAAAGTTCATGGGACATGGAATCAAAAGATTATGCAAATGTTCCATGAACTTTTTAGAGACCCCTGACTATGCTTTCTTGTCTCTTAGGTAGATTCCCTAGGAGGGAATTGCTGGATAACATGGTGAATTTATGGTTGACTTTTTAAAAACAAAAAACATTATTTTATTTTGGAGGGAGGGAGAAGAAGAGGGAGAGGGAGAGGGAGAGAGGGAGAGGAAGAGGGAGAGAGAGAGAGGGAAAGGGGGAGGGGGAGAGGGAAAGGGGGAGGTGGAGGGGGAGAGGGGGAGAAGGAGAGGGGGAGAGAGAGACAGACTTGCCATCTGCTGGTTTACTCTATAGATGCCCAGGAACCAGAACTCAATCCAGGTCTCCCACGTGAGTGACAGGGACTCAACTGCTTGACCATCCCCTGCCGCCTCCCAGAGTGCACACTGGCAGGAAGCTGGACTAGGAGCAGAGCTTGGACTTGAACCCAGGTACTCAGGAATGAGAAGTGGGCTTCCCAAGTGGTGTCTTACCTGTCAGACCACATGTCCACCTCCCGTTTGACATTTTCAGAAGGTAAAATTCTCATATTTTTCTGCTATCCATAGGCTTCTAGAAGGGCATATAAGCCTGTTAAGCGTAGAAGAGAAATATCCACCCCCACATAATGATGAAATGCACGGTGTAGAGAGAAAGCTGGCTCTAGGGGGTGTCTAGTTGAATCCAGATGATCTTGTGTGTGTCTTTGAATCAGCCAGTATAGAAGATCTGACTACGAATGGGGCTCTGAAGTATCTATGCAACATGATTCAGGAGGGGCCAAATACCCACTTTTTGTAAGACTTAACCTTAGGCTTGAAGGGATATAAATGGAAATTTAAAACAAAGCTGCTGGGGCTGGCATTGGGGTTAAGCAGGTTAAACCACCACTTACTGCTGCCATCCCATATCAGAGTGCTGGTTTGAGTCCTGGCTGCTCTACTTCCAATCCAGCTCCCTGCTAATGCACCTGGGAAAGCAGTGGAAGATGGCCCAAGCGCTTGGGCCCCTGACACCCAAGTGGGAGACCCAGATGGAGTTCCAGGCTCCTGGCTTTGGCCTGGCTATCTGCCTCTCTCTTTCTCCCTCTGCCTCTCTGCCTCTCAAATAAGATCTTTCTTTAAGAGATTTATTTAATTTATTTGAGAAGCAGAGTGACAGACAGAGGAAAAGAACTTTCATCTACTGGTTCATTTCCCTGTTGCTAGGACTGGGCTGGGCTGAAGACAGGAACCTAAAATGCTATCTGGGTCTCCCATGTTGGTGTCAGGGCCCCAAACTCCACTGCTTTCTCAGCCACTTTAGCAGAGGGCTGGATTGGAAGCAGAGCAGCCAGGATTCAAAGTGCTGCCCTGATATGTGATGCAACAGGTGGCAGCTTAACCTGCTGTGTCATGATGCCAGCCCCGAAAAATAAATCATTTTTGAAAAGTGTTATATAATGAATTACCAGGACCGTTGAACCAGATAGTTACTAATAATGGTTAATACTTGAGTGTTTAATGCACCAGGCTTTGCTCTAAATGGCTCACACGCTTACTCACTTTATCTTAATCATGCTGTGATATAAGTAGTATGACCATTTTCTTTAAATGATAAGGAAAATCAGGCTCCGAGCGGCAGAGCAAATTGTCCTGGGTGGGTGGGGGTGGGGTGGGGGCACACAGCCAGAAAGTGGCAAAACTGGGGTTTGAATACAGGACGTCTACCATCTGTACCTTCAACCATGAGTTGCTGGGTCCGATCTCTAATTACAGGTGGTGCAGGGGAATCGGGGCTCCTCTCTGGCAGAGACAGGAGCGCCGCTGACTCTCGGTCTGGTCTTGCATCTATCAAGACTGACTCTGGGTAGCACGGAGAGCCCTTCTTAAGACACTCTTTGGGAATGAGTTCCAAGGATGTGTATTTTCTGGCTCTGCAGGGTGGCCTAGGGGAAGCTGCCCCGGATGAACACTGACCCAGAGATGAACCCGGTGCTGGCTCTGCTGTGGTGTGGACTGTGCCTGGGATGGTGGCCAGGTCACCTCCTCTGGGCCCAGGATCTCTACCTGTGACCTGGGGGGGCGGTAATCACCTCTTTCATTACAGGCATGAAAGGACAGGAATGAAGAAACTGACAAGCACGCTTAGTTTCCCTGCTCTAGGACTGCTTGGGCTGGGTCCTTTGGAAGCTGAGGAGGCTCAGGGTTCTTGAGTCTGAGCTGGATCTCCGGTTGCTCGGAGGCAAGCCAAAACTCCAGGTTTCAGTCTGCCCCACCCTGAACCTTGTCACAGCGTCAGGTGCGAGCCCTGCAGACAACCTGCGGACAATGGCACATTCCCTCCGCTACAGGGAATTTTATCCCCTTTAAAACTCAATCCAGTTACTCACAGTGGCGACTTTTAATACCAAATCAGACAGCTCTGCTTTTAGGGACTTCATGGTGATGGCTGTCAAGAGCTTGCTTCCTCACCCGGCTGGCCAAGCAAAAGTTCGTGGATTTGCCACTGATGGAATAACACATCTGCACTGGTCAGCTTGCTGATGGCCACACGCCAGGCTGAGGCTGCTCAGGTGACATGGCTTAAATGCAGACTGGGGCAGGCATTGTGGCCTATCAATGCCGTATGGGCACTGGTTCGAGTCCCAGCTGCTCCTCTTCTGATCCGGCTCCCAGCTATGGCCTGGGAAAGCAGTGGAAAATGGCCCAATTGCTTGGGTCCCTGCACCCATGTGGGAGAAGCTCCTAGCTCCTAGCTTTGGCCTGGCCCAGTCCCAGCTGTCAGTCATTTGGGGGAGTGAACCAGCAGATGGAAGACCTCTGACTTTCAAATAAATAAATAAATCTTTTTTTAAAAAAAAGCACATCACACCTCCACAATGACTCTCAAGACTAGGGAGGGCCTGGGCATGAGTATTTGCTAAAAGTTACGCAGGTGACTCCAATGTGCAGAATTGCGAACCACTGAACTAGGAGAAAGGGCCTGTGCCAGGGTGTGACTAAAGCATAGACAATGTGCAAATTATTTTTAAGATTTATTTTACTTATTTGAATGGCAGAGTGACAGAAAGAGGCAGGGAGAGACACAGGGAGAGATCTTCCATCTGCTGGTTCACTCCCCAGATGAACCAGGCTGAACCTAAGAACTAGGAACATCACCTGAGTCTCCCAGGTGAACGGTCTCCCTTAGCCATCTCCCACTGCCTTCCCAGCACTGGCAGGGAGCTGGATGGGAAGTAGAGCAGCCGAGACTCAAACTGGGTTGCAGGTGTTACAGGTGGTGACTTTTTGCCCCTTTGCCACAAGGCACACCCGGTGTGTAAAACCTTAAGGGTCCTGTAGCACAGGCTGACTGGCCCTGTGCATAGCGACACGAGGCTACAAAAGGCATGGTGTCCGAGCTTTGTGCCAAATTTAATAGGCAATAGGGAGCCGTGGAGGCCTAGTGAGCAGGGGCACAAGTGGGCAGTTAGCAGCATACAGAGCTAGTAAAGCCGTCCAGCGATTTAGAGGCTACGAAACACACACCACACTAGCAGAGAAACCACGCCTTCTTATTCTGCAGTCTTAGCTGCAGATCGACATTCCTCAGCACCCGAATCTACCGGTCTCTCAAGGGGCTCACCCAAGCCGCCTCTGTACTAAGGAACACCGCTTGTTGATTGACTAAATGAGTGTGAACCTGCATGACAAGCCGCGGGGGCTGGCTCTCGCTCCTCTCGCCTTCCCTCCGTTGCTCCCTACCGGCCAGCTTCCAGTTCTTCACCGAGTCGCTCTGCAGCTCCCTCCGGTGTCACTCGCCGCCGCAAACCTGTTTGTCACACGCGGCTCAGTTTCCGGTGAGTCAAGTTCAACCCCAGCTTCCACGTCCTCCGTGACGGCCACCCCCCCCACACACACTCCCTCGCAGCCACCTCTGAGGGGGCGCCCGCCGGCCACCGACACAGACCGGTGTTCCTCGGGGCAGCGGCCCGTGGGGTCGGCGGCGAGGGCGGGAGCCGCGTCCCCCAGTGACCAGCGCCGTCCGCGAGGGAGCGCCCGACCCCCGGCGGGCGTGGCCGCCCCAGCCCCGCCCACACCCTGCCCCGGCCTCGCCCACGCCCCGGCCTGGCGCGGTCCGGACACGCCCCCGCCACGCCCCCGCTCCGCCCCCGCGCCCACGGAGCCCCCGCCCGGCCGCCAGCCCCTCTCCACGTACGCCCGGCCCCTCCCTGCCTGCCTGCTTGGCAGCCGAGTCCGGCTGAGGGGGATGCTCCGGGTCCCACCTCCCCGGGGGAGCCCTCGCGCATTCCCGCGCGCCCGGGCGGCCCCGGCTTCGGCTGGCCCCGGCGGCGGCAGCGGCGGCGGCCCGCGTTCCGCGACCCAGGGAAGTTGTCTCCGGAGCCCGCGGCGCCTCCGTCTCCTCCCCCTGGGCCCCGCCCCCCCGCCCAGAGCTGGGATCTGCGAGCTGCCCGGCCCGGGGGCGTCGCCGCTCGCTCTCAGGAGCCAGCCAGTCTCCGCTTCCCCGTGCGCAGCGCGCGTCCCTCGCCGGCCCGGGATCCCCCGCGCACCCCGGAGACGGCGCGCGCCCAGAGCGCGGGAGCCCGGAGCGCTGGGTGCCTGGGACCCCGCGGAGCCGCTGGCCAGCCCGCGGGGCTCGGCCGGGATGCAGACAGCGCTGTGAGCCCGGGCGCCAAGGCCATGTCCGGCACCCGCTGCCGGACCCTGTACCCCTTCTCCGGGGAGCGGCACGGCCAGGGGCTGCGCTTCGCCGCTGGCGAGCTGATCACGCTGCTGCAGGTCCCTGACGGCGGCTGGTGGGAAGGCGAGAAGGAGGACGGGCTCCGCGGCTGGTTCCCGGCGAGCTACGTGCAGTTGCTGGAGGTAAGGGGCGAGCGCCGAGGGCCGGGACGAGGAGGGGTGGGGTGGGGGTGGCTGGCAGACCGCGGCTGCGGGCCTTGGTGCGCTCGCCTACCTGTTGCCCGCGCCAGGGATGCCGCTGCCGCCCCGGTCCGCGTGGCGTCCGGGGGGCCGCGGCTGCCGAGCCGACCTGTAGCTCCGTGCTCCGGGGCCCGGCGGAGGCGGCGGGCACCCCTCGGGGCGTGGGCGGCGTAGCCTCGCCGGGAGCGCCCCCCCCCCTGCGCCCCCCGCACCGGCCTCCGGAGCGCATCGTGGCCGATCGGACGAAGCAAAAACTTGTTGCCGGTGTGTGAGTTCTGGAGCGGACGGGCGCGTTCCCGGCGCTGGCGGTGGTGGCCGGGGGCCAGCTGAAGGCTGCCCTCGCGTGCGGTGGTTTTGGGGAAGACTCATGGAGTACCGTGGTCCCGGAAATGTCACCGCCTATTCAGCCCGGAGCCCACCGCCTGCTGACTCCAGGGACGGTCGTTGCTGCTCCGGGTCGGGCTGCCCTGCCGCTTGGGGGCTGCCCACTTGCTGGTCAGCTGAGCCTAGCCGGCCACCAGCCTGAGCCCCATGCGCACGCTTGACCCAGCTCCCTGAAAGTGGCTTGCTCCTGGGGTTCCGGCATGGCCCCGGGGCTACACAGGACCAGCTCAGCTGAGTCAGCTGGCTGTCCATTGTCTGGGGGACAGTTGGATGCCTGGCTGTGTCCTCTCGTGCGCCGCTGGGCTCATAGTCACAGCCTGATTGAGAGCCAAAGTTTCTAAGGTTGGGGTGGGAGGGACCCTTGCTCAAAAGACTGCTTGACCCCAAGGTTGCTGTCAAGGCCCAAGGGGTGAGCATAGCCGAGCATTCAGGTAAATTGCTGTCCATATCATGGAAAGGGAAACCCGTTTATAATTTAGCCACCGACCTACTTCCCAAAAGAACAAAGTAGCAAATCTTGAGGGAGGATGCTCCCTGCAGCTAGTGGGGAGAAGGGAGGAGGCCAGATAGGGTGGCATGGCCTTAGGGTGAGTTAGCCTGAAAGTATCCCCTCTGAGGTCGTAACCAGACAGGGGAAGCCTGGCCTCCCGCAGGTGCCTTGTTTCTCCCAGGTCCAGAGGGGAACCACACACTGCCTCCTAAACGCCGAGCACCTCCAGCCGCGTGTAGGGGCTGCCAGCCTTTCACTTCTCCGTGCGTTGACACCTGTAGGGGTAGGACAGGTTCAGGTGCGTGGCTCAGCCTTCCCCGCTGCTGAGATCCAGATGCGTTAAGCAGAGCTCGCTCGCTGCCTGTTTCCTGACAAGCTGGAGTCTCCTTGTGTCTTGTTCGCAAGCTCTAGGAGAGACATATTTTGGGATTCCTTCTGGTGACCACATTTTCCCAGGAAATACTGATGTGGAAATTTGGCTGGTAGATGTCGGTCCAGTTAGGAGCGCTGGCTGGACTCAGCCAGCTGTGTTTTGGTGGCGGAGGAGCGGGTGGAGAGGCTGTTTGGGTGTTAGGGAGGAGGAAGGGAAAGGAAGACCACCCCCCCCTCCACTCTGAACAAAGCAAGATTATCAGCCTTGGCTGTGTCAGCCACACCCCCTGGCACATAAAGAGTTAGGAAATTTCAGAACGTTTCCAACTAGTAACTTGCAACAACTTCCATTTGTTGTGCACCTTCTAGATACTAGGCACCGGACATCCATTATCACCACTGCCCCTGGCGGCTCTGTGAAGGATGAGGTGCTATGCCCATTTTATAGGCAAGTATGTGGAGGCTGAGAGAAGTGGGGCCAGCTGCTTGCCTATTTGGTTAGCAGCTCAGATGGCTGGGCCTGTGCCTCTTAAACTCGATAGCCTGGGTTCGGCTGTGCTAAAAGGCTGAGAAGGGAAAGGTTCAGAGCCACATGGAACAGGGCAGGTGTAGCCCTCGTTGTCCACACAGTGGTGACACTGTCCCTTAGGGTAGGCTGAAGCGTGGAGCGTCCCTTCTGTTAACCCTGAAGCTTGAGTCTGCTCAGAGCCAGCTGGTTTTCCCGCAGGTGGAGGCTGGGGGGAGCCTGAGCCCTGAGGCTTTGGTATCCAATGGGACACGTGGCAGGGCCGGAGCAGTTGCAGTTTGAACGGGGAGGATCACGGATCAGGAACTTCGTGTCTGGGAACCTCCTACAAGAGCAGGCTGGACCTCCCAGCTCAGAGCTGGCCTGGGAGAGTGACAGGCAAGTAGCGTTCCTTGGTAGGCGGCGAGTCCTCGAGGCAACATTGGCTGGAAGAGGCAGCGCTTCCCAGAGAGGAGCTGGTGGCTAGACCGGCCCTCATCGTCAACCCTGGGACTGGAGGATTACTAGCAGGTGCTCGTCAGGGCAGCCAGAAAACCCCAGAAAGTGCACAGTTTTGGGAGGTGGGAGACCCCGTGGGGTGTGAGCCATGTGGGGTGCTTGGCTCTGAGCCTGCTAAGAGCCTGGAGTTCAGAAGCTCAGGGGAAACAAGTGGAGACAGAAGAGAGTCAGCCAGCCTCTTGTGGCAGGGATGGAGCGATGGGTGCCTGTCTGGGAATGGTACCTCCAGTGGGCTCCCTGACCCTTTGTACCTTTCACCCTCTCCTGGAAAGGAGGATACCAGGAAACCCCATCTTGGTGGAGGGGTGCCAGGCATGGAAGACGGGATGAGCAAGAGAGACACTCCCTAAAGATGTCTCCCTTGTTCAGATAAGGAAAGGGGAACCGAGAGGCCCTGGCTGTGCAGGAAGCAGACCTCATAGAAGGGAGTTGGGAGCAAACCCTGAGAAGGCTGCTGGGAGGAGGGTACTAGGGGCACCTTCTCAGCCAGGACTCCAAGGTCATGGTGGAATGGTACAGCACACTATTATTGGCTTGCAGAAAATGGTCTCCCCAGAAACCTCAGCCCAAGTTGAGATGCGTAGATGGACCCGATAGGCCCAAGGCCTCTGGCTGTCAGCTTTTCTGTCAATTAGGGGAATGTCAATTAGGGAAGGAGGTGGAGGAGGGAGACCAGATCTCCATGCTGGAGAAGATACGGAGCGTCACATGTGGCACCAGGACAGGCTGGAGTGCCTAACCAGGCTCAGGAGTCCCTTGTGGCCTGTTCTTACCTGGAGTGGAGAGAAGGCAGGGACTTACCGGATGTTATAAGGCATCAGCAAACCTTCCCAGAGCTTTTGGGAAATAATTCTGGGGGAGCAGTAAGATTGCAATGCAAATCCAATAGAGCTTTTCTTGATTTAGGTGCTGTGCTTAGAATCTAGGATCTGAACCTCAGAGGTGCTAACAGAACTGGCTTCCTCTCCATCTTCTGTTCTTCTCCCTTTTAGGGATTGTGCAATAGGAGTTTGCAAGGAGTGGTTGTGGGAGTGTGGGCTGTGCTGTGGATAACCAAGGCATGAGGCTTTACCTATTGCTATGTAACAAGTCACCCCCTGAACTTCATGTATCCAAACAGCAGTTTATTATCTCACATGGTTCGGGGGGTTGGCAGGGCCCAGCTGGGTGGTTCTTCTGCCGGTCTGTCTCCATGTCTTTCCTGCAGTTGTAGTTAGGTGGCAGGTGGGGCTGGCGTCCTGGATGGTGTATCGGCCTGGAACCTCCGAAACAGCATTTGCACCTACCTGTGTGATGCCCTGGTGTTCTCTCCACCTGGTGTCTCCTCCTCTGGGGCCATTCCGCATGGCCTTTCTCTTGAGCAGGGTATTTGGAGTTCTTCCATGTGGCTAACTTCCAAGAACACAGAGGTGCAAGTTGCCAAGCCTTCTCAAGGCCTTGGCCCAGCACTGGCACATCAGTTCTGCCACATTCTGCAGTAAAGGGAGTCACAGGACCAGTTCAGAGTCAGTGTGGAAGGGAGGTGGATACGGTCTGGAAGCAGGGGAGGTGTGGTTTTTGGATGTCCGTTTTGCAGACCAGACACCTCATAAGGGCAGGGCAGGGACAGAGGGTCCATTAGAGGGGACGGTGAGTGCCAGACCAGAGTGATGTTGGAGAGAGCCCCTGGAGGGAGGTAGCATCCAGGAGACTTGGCCCTCCTGCTTCAAGTGCCTCTGTTATGATCCTTGGAGGAGTTTTGTTTTTTAGGACACCAGGAGTTTCTTTATAGAGGCTACAGGATAATTGATGCAGATGGCATTTAGATTATTTGAGAGACAGAGTCACAAGGGGTGGGGGGAGCGACAGTGAGAGAGTTCTCCCATGTGCTGGTTCTTTCCCTAAATGCCTGTAATGGCTACGGTTGGGCTGGGCTGGGTTGAAGCTAGTAGCTGGGAATATCAATCCAAGTCTCCCAAGTGGGTGGTGGTTGGAATTAACCTGAGCAATCATTGCTGCCTCCCAGGGTCTGCGTTTAACAGGAAGCTGGAATCGGGAGCCAGTGCCTGGAATGGAAACCAGGCACTGCGATATTGAATGCAGGTGTCTTTGCTGGTGCATTTGCCACTAGTCAACCCACCTACAGAACTGCTTGACAGCCACTGGGTGCTTGCTATGTGATCCACATTGATTTTAATACTGAGCCTTTCTCTCTGTAATATGAAAACCACCTACAATGGGAATGACTTTGTCCCCCGTGCCTGTTTTTCATGCCATCCACAAATCTGTTCATAAAAGGTATAATAAGGTCTGGGGCATTGTAGGGGGTGTAGTTGTATTGGAAAAGATTGTCATCCTGCACTCTATAAATTATCTTTATTTATTTGAAAGGGAGGGAGGGAAGGAGATAGAGAGATCTTCCATCCACTGGTTTACTCCCCAAATGCCCTCCACAGCTGGGACTGGGACAGGAACTCAGAATTCAGTTTGGTTCTCCCACATGTGTGGTTCCACTGCTTGAGCCATCATCTGCTGTGTCCCATGGTGCACACTAAGAGGATGTGAGTCAGGAGTCGGAGCTGGGACTCAAATCCAGGCTCTGATATGAGACGCAGGTGCTTCGAGCGGCGTCTTAGCTGCTGCACTGAATGGCTTCCCCCTACCCTGCCCTGTGCTCTGGGGGCTGCAGCCAGC